TTCTCATCCCTGGTCCTCCCCTTCAACACAAAGCAGTTTGGGACCCTCGCTCCTGCATGGTCCGGTCACTGCACATCTGACCAAGATAGCTGGGGAGCTCACAGGCCCTGGAGGTGAACTTTATTATTACTTAGCTCAAAGGGCACAGTTCAAATAGCTTCTAAACTTGTATCTCCCTATCTGATGTTTAGTGGCACTCTCGTACTTAATTGAAGAAGCTTCTGCATGGAATAGATGATGGTAAATACATAAACTCACAAGTGGCCAAAGTAATAATAATAAGTCACTGAGGAATGCTTAGCCACAAACTGGACACAATAACACACCCCTTAGCCAAGGCTCAGGGACTATCACGGAACAGAGGACAAAAGACTGCAACAGCCAGACGTTGTAAAGGACCAAAACAATGTCTTCCCGACATGATAGAACCTGTACTTGCAAACCCACGGAATCTGAAGATGACTTCACAAGACCACACCAGCAAGCATTCTAGTATGAAGTCAGGAGGGTATCATGAGTTAGGACCCTTAACTGTCAAGTTTGGAGCAGTTAATAGATTCTGAGTATAAAGTCCATTTTTTTTAAGGGTTTGTCTTTTAGTTATGTCATATTCCAGTGGATGGCCCCATTCCCCATACCGGGAAGAATAGGGAAGGTATCACTGGACTATTAAATGTTTTTAAAGGAGGAAGTAAGTTTCAGAGGAAAGGTGGTAAGGGCTGATCTAGGAGGAGTTAGTAGGATTTGGAGGTGAATGTATTCAATACATGAAATGAAATTCTCACAGTATTAATTTTTAAAGAATTTTAACAGAGCTTTTGCAGCTGATGTCAGAGTTTCAGAAATGCTAAGGTATGAGAATATTTAAAAGATTGGCAAGCACTGGAGCCCTGCTGTCACAAACACAGAGGGGCCCACAAGGACGCCCAATGGAAAGTTCCCTCTGCAACTACCACTGTGAGAAGGAATCTACCTTCGTTCAAAGATCCGAACTGCACCAGAGTTACCTTTATTTCAGCCCTGCCCTACCCTTCAGAATTGAAATAATACCGACACTGTCAGAAGTTACTAAGCAAATTACACATGGATATTATTGCTGCAAGGAGGAATGAGATGATTGATTGTGCCAATAGAGATTAAGTAAGATTCATAGATATTGTCTGCATTCTTAGCAACAAGAATACATATTGCATATGCTAATGCATTTTTAAGTGATAAATACCGACCCCAGTTCATGAAGCTGGGTTTAATCTGAGCACCCTGGATGAGCAGAACAGGATAAAATGAGATGACTGCCTCTTAGATTTTAAATGAAAATATATGAAGATTTAGTTGTCAGGGCTCACATAGTTTGTTTAGGATCTATTGTTAACTGCACAGATACTGTATAAATTTGAAAAAAACGGATTGATCTTTAAGTGAACTAATGAGGTTTTCTCAGAATTTATTTCTGAGCACAGTTGGTAGCATGGGAAATATTTCATCCAAAGAAGTAAAAATATCAATAGCAGTAAAGAGGCTTGTCTTTTTCTTCCCCGAAAGAGTCAATGTAAACTGTAAGCAGCGATTTGTCTTACCAGTTTTTACAGAAAATTGCTGCCAAGTAGATGTAATTGCACTTGGCCTGCATGTTTTACTGCCATTTAAGCGATCAACCACACGATACTATTCTGGCACTCATACGTAGCATGTAGCATGTTTATAACATTTTCATCTTATTTTTTTTTTTACTTGAATGAATCTCACACCTAAAATTATCATATCAAAAGATATTTCAAACAATAGGAATATTTACAACAATGCCACCTTCAAAACTTATAGCTGACTACATTTGCCTATAGCATATCAAGTTGGTATTTCCGTGTACCTAATGACATTTTTTTAGAGAGTATCAGTTTACTAACTTCATGTTAATTTCATATGTCTCTATTTATAAGGATCTAGTTTAACTTTTCAAATGACCCATACAGATCAATTTCACTGCATCATGTTTCCCCAAGAGATTTAAGTGTTTCTAAGGCACACTTTCTAAAGAGCAGAATCTCGAGAGAGTTGAGACACTAGGTTCACTTGGATTCATTCTTATCTCAATGATTCACACCTAAATAGTTCAACTACAAGTCCTGTTTTTGTTTTGTTTTGCCTTTACATTGTGATTCAGAGGTGATCCGTATTTATCCCCTTTCTTCCTTTCCTGCTTTTTAAATAAAAAAAAAAAAAAAAAAAAAAAAAAAAAAAACATAGCCATTGTGCTCTGAACTGATGACTAGATAATGGGGATTCACTACAAATGGCTCATGGAATTTTATCATTGTAAAGAAAAATTAAATTATAAAATTTGCTGGTAAATGAATAAAACTAGAGAAAGTGAACTGAGAGAGGTAATAAAAGCCCAGAAAGACAAATTCAACCTATTCTCAGATTAGCATCCTAGCTTTGAATCTCTACTTTTGCATGTTCAATTTAGAGTGCCTTCGAAACCAGGACATTAGAAAGGTTATTGAGTGGACAGGATATTTTAAGGGAAAAGTTAGTAGAAATTAGGTAATATGAAAGTAGAGAGTTAGAATACTGGGTATTAAAAGACTCAAGTAAAAAGAGAGACCGGTGAGGGGAGAGGACACAGAGGAAGCTGTTATGAGTAAGTTTTTTTCCTGCCGGCCGGTCTGGTCCCACCGCCACACCAGACCCAAATAACACACAGAGACTCTGTATTTGATATAATTCTTTTGGCAATTTTACTAGTTTCTTATCAGCTAGCTCTGTCTTAATTATTAACCCATTTCTATTAATCTAAGTATTTCCACATGGTCTTATCTTACTGGAGAGAGGGGCTGGCGTTCTGCTCTCTCTGTCTTCCATCTTGGATCTCCTCCCTACTCCTTCCAGAATCCTCTTTGTCTCCTAACCCACCTATCTTGCTTTCCTATTAGGCAACAGTGCTTTATTCATTAACCAGTATGAGAAACATATTTACAGAATGACATCTCCCATCAGGAAGGAGTTAACCAAATCAAAGGATATATGGAGAAGTTACACAGAAACCTATCTTGAAACCCAATTTAAAATGTAATTTCTGTCTTTTGAGATTAATATAATTATATTTCCCCTTTTTCTTTCCTCCGTCCAAACCCTCCCACAAGCCCCTCCATATTCTCATTCAAATTCATGGCCCATTTCTTTTTCATTAATTGTTACCACATGCATATATGTAACATTATACAGACTGAGCAGGTTATATTCAATAATGTAAATGTATATATAAAACATGTAATTTTTTTACAAGGCACTCGTTCTTGTCAAGTTCATTTCCCCATTGAAAGAGAGATGCCAAGGAGCCAATTAGACATATGTATGTATATTCTAGAAACTGTAGAAAGTCTTGGAAACTAGGAATGTAGACCATCCCTGAAGCTTTGCTGTGAACAATATAGTCTAGCAGAGAAGGCTAAGGAATAGAAAGCCCCAGTGGCGAGCCTTGATGCATCCAAGTATCTAGTGATCATAAAAACAATGGTGTTGGAAAGTCAAGGATGGATGACCCAGCTTCCTTTGTTTCCTGCCTGTTCACACACACACACACACACACACACACACACACACAAACACACACACACACACACACACTGACCCTTTTCTGGCCATTCAAACTATTTCTTTAGTGTATACAGTAAGACACTAGAAGCCCACCCTCAAAAACCCATACAAATTCATCAAAACTCTGCCCATTGTAGTGATATATTATTTATGATTTATTAAAGCATGCCTGAGGATTCAGAAAGTGAAGTCAGCCACAAGCCATAGAAGCCAGGCACACACCTTTAATCCCAGCAGCCAGAAGCTAAGAAATAGTGGTACACACCTTTAATCCTAGGACTAAAGATTAAGAAGTAGATGATCTCTGTGAGTCCAAGACCACCCAGATCTACACAAGATTTAGACAGCCTAACAGAGAATTATAGCTCATACCTTTAATCCCAGCACTAGAGGGATATAAAAGACAGGAAGAAGCACTCAGTAGGAGGCATTCATTCTCCAGCCATCTGAGGAAAGGCTACAGTCTAAGGCTTAGTGAAAGCTGGTGGGGACAGGATGAGCCTGTCCTGGGGACAGGGGTCAGCCCGAGCTAGCAGTAAGAGGCAAAGTGGCCAGCTGCTTTGATTTTCTGATATCCAGCTTGAAGTGTGAACCCCAATATCAGTCTCTGGGTCATTTATTAATCATGTGACAGTCTCTGGGTCATTTATTTATCATGTGATAGTCTGTCTTGCTTCCTTTTTTCATACCTCTGCTCTGGATGCCTCCAACAATCTGCCTTCCGTTCCTCTCCATAGTGCAACTATAGGACACTGCCAAAAACCAACCCCTTGTTTCTCCTGAAGGCCCCGGCTATCACCTGATGAGTGTTGACTGTGTTTCTGGTGTAGTCCAACTCCAAAGCCCTCTGGTTAAGTCTCTCCCTGACTCCTGTCTTATAACTCCCCTGAACCTTTTTCCCACTTCAGAAAGAGATCAGTAGACATGAACTGCTTTGATTTACTTCCATAGCTGCAACCACCATATGGGTTTATGTGTCTGTCTCCATATTTACTCTCATCATCCTGCATAATAGTGTTCTTCCTGTCCTAACCCATCCAACTATGACCCTTCCATTCCTCTTACTCTTTTTCTCTTAGCCCTATCCTATCATCTTCTACTTCTTTCCAACACTTCCTATTTGTCCATAAAACTCTTTTTAAAAAAAAAAAATAAATAAAACAGCAAATCTTTTAAAAATGAAAAAGAGCCTCAGGACTGAAGTGGACAATGTGGTTTTCAGAAAATGATTAGTTTTAAGATATTCAAATGACGCAACAGAGAGAAAAAGCAGGCACCAGTTTATAAGGCTTTCCCTTTAAATTCAGATGGGCAATTAGGAATCCTTCTAATTCCATGTGAGCATGAAATCCAGGTCCGACATTTCGCAGGCTCATTTTTTTTTTTTGTGATGAATTCAGTAACTGATGATGATGCATACCCCTCCTGGAAGCAAGCCACAAGACGGCTGTCCTATGCAGAGCTTGTTAACTTAGCACTCAATCCATCCACCTGAGGCCATTCCCTAATGCTCAGGATTTGGGTTCCTCTGGGCTTCTTCAGCATTTAACTAACTCTTTGTTGGTTGAAGGTGCGGGGACTGTTTCTCCACACATAAACTGATCTTTGTCATAAATCACTTTTATAATGAGAGAGCAGCTAGGACACGTTGCCACATCTTCTCCGTTCTCCAAATCTTCCTTGGTGATGGAGAAGTTATCCCCACAGGGGCAGGGGTAGAAGTATGTCTCCGAGTCCTCGTCATACTGAAAGTCCTCGATCTCCACCTCGTCGTGAAACACCGCCATGGTCACCGGGTCGACACAGCATCAGTTTGCCTAACTCGGCCGGTGAAGGGAAGGCCTGCGCTTCCTGGCCTACGCGGGAACACGGAACAGGGCTTGTCCATAAAACTCTTATTCCCCCTTTTTCAAACGCCACCTCCCTAGCCTCTCCCCTTCCTCTCACCATCTCTTGTCTAAACCTTAAATCTCAGCTTCTGTCCCACAACCTCAATTTCCTATTCACTGCTCACCCACACAACTCTAGTTCCTATTTTTGTGATTCTCATGAATGTCCAGCATGTAAATGCCATGCTGTATTTGACTTTATTTCTTGCCTAGAATTTTATGATGGTCTTGCTTTAGAATAAATAGTCTTGCTTCTACCCTTTAGCCATTTCCTCTTATGTTGTGCCTGGGTTCTGCCTTTGGCCCTACGCTTTTTTTTTTTTTTTTTTTTTTTTTTTTTGTATGCTTCTTTCTGAATAATATTATCTGTTCCTTATTAATGATCACATATTCAGTAAAAGTGCCCAACTCTAATCATTGATTCCTGGCCTCGTTTGAGATTTCCACATTCTGAACCAACTATCAGCTACACAGCAAACATTATAAGACCAAGACACAATAAATTGTCTTTCTCCTTGCCAGTCTTTTTTTTTTCCTCTCTGTATGTATTTAGTTAGTTAGTTAGTTATATTATTTTTTCTTCTTTTACATATCGATCCCAGTTCTCTCTCCCCCACTATGCCCCGAACCCCCTCCAATTCCATCCCCCCCAACTCCACAGGGAGGGTGATGCCTCCCAGAAGGGATCATCTAAATCTGTCAAGTCATTTGGAGTAGGAACTAGGCTCTCCCTCCTGCCTCTAGGTTAAGGGAGTATCCCTCCATGGCAAATGTGCTCCCAAAGTCCTTTCATGCACCAGGGGTACTCCTTGCCAGTCTTAAGTTTTCTGACATTGTTTAACATGTTTTAGGCTTAATTAATGACTAAACAAGACTTTATCTGTGAATATATGATCTGAAAAATTCAGGGAAGTACAGATAAATCACCTAAGTGATGGGAGATGTCATTCTGTAAATATGTTTCTCTTATTGGTTAATGAATAAAGCACTGTTGGCAAATAGGAAGGCAAGATATGCAGGACTAGGAGACAAGGAGGATTTTGGGAGATGTAGGAGAGTTCAAAATGTAGGACCAAGAGGAGTAAGAGGTCAGGCCCTTTCTCTGGTAAGCCTAAACCACGTAGAAACACTTAGATTAATAGAAATGGGTTATGACAGAGCTAGCCAATAAGAAATGCTAGTAACTGGCCAACAGCTTTATATCTAATACCTTGTCTCTGTTTGTTATTTGGAGGCTGACACAGCTGTGGGGCCCAGCTGGTGGGAAAATTACTTGTAACACCTAAGTGCCCAAAAGTAGTTCTCATAGTGTTTCCTCTGCTTGGTTCTGGCATCAGATTTAAATAGCCTGCCAAGATTTTACCTAACCTCAGAGGTAGATGTAAGGTGTTCCTTTTGTAGAAAAAAAATAGGGCATCTCTAAAGATAGTTCTGATTAATAACTTTGGGGCCTAGAAAAGTAAACTGCACATAAGCAGAGAAGAAAGCAAGAGCAAGCACCGAAGTCCTGGTTTTCTGATGAGAATTCTCTACAGACTTTCGAGAGTGCTGTTGCACAGTGGGACAGTCCTCCAACTGTGCTGGGCTACTGAGATGCTGCCGTGAGACAACTGACAGGCAAAAAATGATGTGATTCTACCAACTATTACAAACTTAAATGAGGCACCTAATTAGGATATTTGAACCAAATATCTACGGATTTAAACTTTTTCTGTCACACCAAGAAAATGTGATGAAAAAATTCAATGTCAGAACACAGGGAGCTGTGCAGAGAGCTGTGGTGTATACAAAATGACCAGTGTCAGCATCCATTCACGAGCTGTGGGTGTCTTACCTCAAAAGAGTTCTTTGGTGATATGAGAAGTGGTGGTGAAGTATGGGCTAAGTTTGTGGCTTCCTATCCAAAATGGTAGGATAAGGGAAAGACAGGACAGTTTATCAAATTCCTTAAAATAGAACAAGATTGGTTTATGGAATGACAGTAGTAGATTCTCCTCTAAGGTCAATGACCTCTCCACCCATGGTTATTAATTAGGTTGGCAGTACCATGCATGAATTCCCTACTATTGATCAAGCCTTAACTCCAATTAGACAGCTTTTGCTTACCCAAAAGATAAAGTGCCACTGTTGAAATATTAGTAACACCTTACTAGGTCATTGTTGTGGTTCGCAGGCATCACAGATGTTTAACACTATTGATTGTTTTTCTCTTTTGAAAGCTTGCATAGCACCTTGTAATACCGTGAGAACCAGGAGGCTTCCAGTTCAACTCGAGCTCAATTCCTAAAAGTTCTGTGTCCAAGTGTTTCTCATTCTCAATGATAGGGTATTACCTTCAAGTGTTAGGAGGAAGCCAAGGGCAATACTGTAACCAATATTGGTTTGGGGAAATCTCTGACTGAGCAGCAATCAAAATGGAATTTTGCATACCTTACACTGGGGTTTTTGTTGGATAATCTATGTCTCTTGGGGACAACATTAACCCCATGTGGCATAAGTCCATTTGATACAGCTCTCATCTATCTGTCTGTCTATCATCTACTTCTACCATCTATTTAATCTGTTTCTCCCTACCATCCATGCAGTGTGTGTGTGTGTGTGTGTGTGTGTGTGTGTGAGAGAGAGAGAGAGAGAGAGAGAGAGAGAGAGAGTTTGTAAAACAATATTTTTCTGTGGTCTATTCAAATGTTATTTACCTCTCTTTCATCTCACTCACTCTGTATTACCTCCCTTCCCCCATTCCCCAGATAAAGTCTCCCTTAATTTTTCAATTTCCCCTTTCTTGCACCTGTGTGCTACTGTACCTCTCTTGAGCTCCTTTCTCCCATCTGTCACCAGAGGTCTCCCTTGACTCTGCTGGCTTCTGCAGTGACTTCAGGTTATATACTCAAATCTAGAGATTTGTAGCTAATGTCCACAAATGAGAGATAACATGCAGCCTTTGTCTTTGTATTTCTGGTCATCTTGCTCAGCATAACACTTCCCAGTTCCACCCATTGACCTGCAAATTTCATGATGTCATATTTCTTTATGGATGAATACTATTCTGCTGTATGTACCACATTTTCATTACCAATTCATCTTGAATGAAATCTAAGTCGTTTCTATTTCCTAGATCTTATGAACACAATAGCAGTGTGTAGCATGGGTTCTAATTGGTCTTAATAATAAAAAACCTGGAGTCAGATATTAGGGGGTGAAAACTGAAAGATCAGAGAAGCAGAGTAGCCAGAACTCTAGTGAAAATCCTCAGACTGAAAGGAGACTTGAATCTCCTTCCACCTTACATTCCTCTCTCCATCCAGCCGTATCACTTCCTGTCTGTATGTACAGATTTCTAAACTTCTATGGTTAACCAGTGGGTAGCTCTGCCCCATGATCATCAGAAAATCTTGATTTGGTAGAGTACAAACAAGTTATCACATCTGTGAACCTAAGTGAGAAAGTCATCACTGTGGTAGAAAATAGAGTCTTTAGGAGTATATGCCAAGGATGGTATAGCTGTGTGACATAGTAGATCTACTTTTAGATTTCTCAGAATTCTCCACACTGAATACTGAATATATCAGTTTTCAATTCCACTAACAGTGAATTTCCCCTCTCTATTTTCCTGTTCGTTTATCAGCACTTATTCTCAATTATTTTCTTTATCTTACTCATTCTGAATAGGGTAAAATAAAATCTCAAAGTAGTTTAAATTTGCAGGTTTTGTGGGGGTGATAGGGGAGGATAGGAGGGTGAAGGAACTGGGATTGACATGTAAAACAACCTTGCTTATAATTTAAATAAAAAAGGGAAACTAAATAAATAAATTAGTGCAGCAAGCATGGAGCTTTGGGCTCAACAAACATTAGTTGTTACAGTAATGAATCCTATCTCCCAGAATAGCTGAGATTTTATATAGCTATGAATCCAGATTACACCAACTGGGAAAAATATTCACAAAAAAAAAATGCATTTCCCTAATTACTAAGGATGCTCAGCATGTGTTAAGATTCCTTAGCCATGTTTATTTCTTCTTTTGAGAAGTCTCTGTTGGGTCCGTAGTTCATTTTTCAAGTGGATCATTTGTTTTATTGATTTTTTTGAGTTCCTTGTATACTCTGGAAATTAATCTTCTATTGTATCTATTACTGGAAAATATTTTATCCCATCCTACAGGCTTCATCTTCACTCAAGTGATTGTTTCCTTCTCTGTACAGGAGCTTACATTTTCCTAAACCAATATAATTTCTAACTGCATCCAAATACACATCCTTAAGCTACAAATAAGTGTCGCTCTCATGCCTCATCAAATAAACTCCTGTGTGAAGCAGAATTAGATAATCACAGTGATCCACAAATGTTCAAAATTCAGAGAAATAAGTGAGCATGTGATTCCAACCTCTAATTGACATACCTGCAACACAACCCCTACACATAAAACTCAGGAAAAGGTCTGGAGAGATGGCTCAGCCATTAAAGGCTAGGCTCACCACCAAAAATATAAAACTCAGGAAAAGTCACAGAAGAGGAAGCAGAAAGATTGTTAATAGGCAGAAAATCAAGGGCACGTGCTGTGAGAGAGTGTGTTCTAAACATGACAGGGATGCTTCGCCTATGAAATTTCAACAGTACACATGCCTAAACAAGGGCTGTGTGATGATAATACCAGTTGACATACCAACATGGATACTGTATATTTCACAAGGTCTCATCTCTAGATGAAGAGCTACAGGCAAGCAATGGCTACTGAGAGTGAGAATTTGGTTTCCCCAGAAATAGACTATAGATAGTACCTCAAGTGGTCAGCCCCAAACACACCAACACATGAGAAACACTAAACGGGCTTAGAATAATATATATGTGTGCTTATATGTGTGTATTTAACGATAACATTTTTAAAAGAGGTTATGAATTTGAGAAGGAGTGAGGGGAAACAAGGATTTGCAAGAGAAGTAGAACTATGGAATATAGCTATGGAAGTATAAGTAT